AGTAGTTACTGATAAAACCAGATGTAACAAACTTCCTGTGTTTTAGGCATGTGTTATCTGCATGAGATCATCTTTTCATTATCCCAAAATGGATTTTGCCTAGGAAATATGGTTCACTGCTGCAAGGGGCCAGAATTTCAGTTTGACAACAGATTCAAAAGACAACAAATGCAATTAGTAGCAGGACAGGTCCCACGTCACTGAGATGGAAAACATGTTTCTGCTCCACTTACACCAGCAGGATAGCGGGACACGGCACTTGTTAAAATCAGAAGGCTCTAGTCTTGCAAACACTTCAGTACCTACATAACTGCCGATTTGGAGCAACTCTATTTGGCTTCAATGGAACTACTTGTGTAAGTAATTTTATACATCTGATTAAGTGTTTGTAGGACTACGGCCAAAGACATTTTGCAATAAATTTGACAAATTATAGATGTTCAAAAATAGAACATAGTATGCAGAGACAGCTGGCCCCATTTTCGTAAATGGAACATGATTCAGCAAGAAAGTTAGAAAGTCTTATGTTGAATTTTTAATTACAGCAGAATTAAGTGTGCGTTAACAAGATGCAACATTTTCCTCTGTATTAATGTTAAATATAACATGAGAGATGACCACCCCTTTAATTCAAAATTTTAGGGTTTTTTTTTTTAATCTTCTCTCTTTTAACATGCTGATTACTCAGTAAGACCAGCCTATTTAAAACCCTGGCAGAGTTGAACAAAACCAAAGGTGCATTTCCTCAAATGCAGAAGTGCTCTCAGCCAGGAATAAATCAGCCATAGGTGACTACAAAAGCTAAAACTGAAAAATGAAGGGGGTGGAGGGTGGGAGTCAAAGGTCCAACATTTGGGCCCAGAAAAGGGACATCCAGCAGAGAATCTTGGGCAGTTGTTTCACAAAGGAATGAATGGAGACAGCGAATTTCATCCAGAGACAGTCTGCCTGACCCTGCTGTACAAGGAGAGAGCAGAAATAGGCTTCACATTGGAAGGCACCTGACTGTCATGCCATCTCCTCCTCTTGAACTACTGTACAACCATCTTGGCCAACGCAACAGGGAAAATACCATGACCACGATGGTGGCAGGGGAAATACCCTGACAGAGGTAATGTGATTAAAATGGCACTGTGTAGTGGAGGGTTGCACCCTTGTCTGCTTGCAGACAGGACTTCCTATGAAAGCCTCCGTAGTTAGCTTCCCACCGACCAGCTTCCACTGGAAGGATTTTGGCTACATGCCGACTTTATGGAGATGGGAGACCATTCCCTAGCTTGCTCTTGCAGCCATCTGGCTAAGGGTAAGCCAAACTTGGGGGCATCCGAACCCCAAGCTTTCTGGCTTGGGCCTGCATGTAGGATGCCCGTCAAAGGATTTGGAAACATATGAAGCCCTAGGCGGGGGTGGAAGATGTTTGCCGGTGCTAGGGCCACATTCGGTTCTTGAACGACTCATGGATTTGGAATCGATTTGACCGATTTGGCTTGGAATGTGAAAAGCTTTCCTTAAAAAAAATAATCTTGGCCAACATGACAGAAAGAAAAGAGGTCTTGCAAGTTTGTGAGGCCACAGAGAAAACAGAGGGCACAGATGGGAGATGAAGGAGAAAGTGCAGCCAGAACATAAGCAAGATGTTGGGGAGAAACTGGAAGGGAAACTGCAAACTGGCACGCTAGAGGAAGAGATGCCTCAGGGTCTCCTTCCTTCCACTGAAGCAGCAACTTTAAGGACAAGACCACATCAGTCATGTACCCATGTTCACCTCAAGGAGCCCAGCTTGATAGTTACAGACACAGAAATCGCCTATTTATGCAAAGAACAAATATACAGAAGTAGCAGCCGCAAAAGCTCCCCCATAGCAGGTCTGTCTAAAATACTGCTTCTATCCTACTTTTATCACCTGTTACGTGTACATGAAGGAAAGTGGCAACAGAAGCATATTTTTAGAGAACAAGGGCTTGATATGTGCCACTACCAAAGAGAACAGCAGCCATTACACTGAACAGAAAAAGATCAGTCCTCTCATATAACCCCCACACAAATTACAGACTGTTTACAGTGCATTACAGCTCACAACCTTCAAGGGAAACTTTATGGTTGTATTTTTCTTTTCCTGACAGCACCAACTACTGTACTTTAAAACCTGACCACCGACCAAAACTGTTTGTTACATTTGGGTCTTATCTATCCAGTAGCAGCAACAACCTGCCCCTCCCCAAACACCCTGTACTGCCATGTGCTGGCTACCTCCTAAATGGGAAGTGGCCTAGTCTCATCTGGATGGGAGGGCACTCACTGCCATTAATTAGCCAGACCAAAGGGCCACAAAGATGCAGCCACCCTGCTTCTGTGTCCAGGGGCAGTTCATATGGAGAAACGGGGCATGCTTGAAGGGGCTGCTGCCAAACACAGGAAACATACCTGTAAGCATAATCTTACAAAACCATACATCTTGGTTACAAGCTCTCTCCTCCATCCAAAGTGTTAAATAAAACTGTCAAACATCATGGTTTATTGAGTCTCTGTGAAAGGGATAAGGGACAGTCATACCTCACAGATATAAGTTTCTTGGGCCTACAAAACTGACCGTTGTTTTATTACAGTACTATATTTTGTCGAGTCTATTTTTGTATTATGGCGGTACTTAGAAGTCACAAGCAAGACCAAGATAACCACATAGAGCATTTATACACATACACTTTCATTCCACGACACGCTGGATATCTTCCGCTTCGGTGCAGGCTCAATTAATCAAGTCTGCTCTGCATGCGAGCTAATGCGAACCGCACTATGCCGCATGCAGTTGTGCAAGTAGTGAAATGCATGTCAGTGCACAGAAAATGCTGGCAGTGTGCTTTTGAATTAAAGCACTGGGCTGGACATAAGGAAAAACTTCTTTACTGTCCGAGCCCTCAAGGCCTGGAATAGATTCCTCCCCCAGAAATGGTGCAAGCACCTACTCTGAACACTTTTAAGAAACATTTGGATGCTTATCTTGCTGGGATCCTTTGATCCAGCTGACTTCCTGCCCTTTGGGCATGGTGCTGGACCTGATGAACTTACCAAGTTCCTTCCAGCCCTAACGTCTATGAAATCTAAAAAAGCTATGAAACCTCTGATGTGTTTTAGTTCAAAAGCATGCTGCCACCATTTTCTCAGTGCTGACATGCATTTCGCCGCTTATACAGCTGCATGTGCTGAGCACCGGGTGCTTTTCAAAGAGCCCACTGCTGCAACGCATGCATGTGTACAAATGCCCATAGAGACCACCCCTGCCTCAGTTTATAACCTGAAAAGCAAAATGAGTGGGAAACAAAGGGGTGAAATGACTTGATCAAGATCACACAGCAGGTCAATGCAAGAGCTGGCAATAGAGTCCAGATGGCCTGACTCCTAGTCCACCCTAGACAAATTTGCCTTTGCATGGCTTAACTCACAACAATCTGTATTTACACAGAGCCTCCGACCCTGGAGCATTATAACCCTGTTTAAAGAGTGACAGGGAAATTGAGTGATTTATCCAAGACACCTAGCAAGTGAACTAATCAATACTTGCTTCTTTCTGCTCCACATCCTACAACATATAACACACACGGGTAAGGATCCACTGACTTCAAAGGGGCTCTGTACACTTGTGCGCTCAATTTTAAGATCAGGGACTTCAGCCCCAATCACGCTTATCAACATAGCTGAACCCTAGGCCCAGGTGGATGTCATTGCAGGCCTGAGTCCTTAAAGGGATCATCAGCATCTGATGAAGTGACCTTGGGTTCATGAAAGCTTGTGCTGAGATATATAGTTTATTTAGTTCAGCTATGAAGGGACGCATCTACCCTGCTTTCTGAGAGACTTCTGACTAATGTGGCTAACTACCTCTCCTTAAAGCGACAACATGGGTTTCAAATATAGATTTTAAGGACTTGAAATAACCTCCACTGGTATTTGGAAAAAGATGCAGCAGCAGGCTTGGGATCACTTTTGTTTTCCTTGACATGCAAATAAATTTTCTCCCGTTTGGTCGGCAGATCTACATTTCCTAGCAGTGTTAGAAACCAGGCCAACACACCCCTCCTCAATGCCACGGACTAGAAACATAAGTGGAACGGTGAACAGCGTGGACGTTGTGCTGTCACTGGGGTAAAGGAGAGCCAAAGGGAAGAAAAAAAAAGAAATCTCAGAGCAAAGAGGTGATTATCTGTCATGCCAAATGAATGGGGGGGACCCCCCACCCCAGAAATAGGGATCAAAAGCATAAGGAGGCAAAGGGTAAAAGCAGCTCTTTCAAATGCATTCAATTTTCAGCTGTTACCAACAATCCCTTAGGAAAGCAGTCAGGAACTAGGAAGCCTCCCTCGGGTCTCGCTTGCAGCCGCGGGGTCAAGGGCAGCATGAGTTGTATGGCATGGTTTGGAAGGGGGTGAACCTGCCTCAGGCAGGGGGCTGGACTACATCAGTGGTTCTCAACCCTTTTTGTGCCAGGGCTCATTCGTAAACATCAGTGGCGAGTGCCCACCCAGTGCCATCCGAGCGTATGGGGCAGAGGATGGGTGTGTGGGCAGGGGGAGCCTCCTCGTCGGCTGGACCTCTGCCAGCCAGCAAGGGAAGAGCCACCACTGCCCACAGTTTTCTCTTTAAAAGGCAAACCTGTTTTTAAAGTTTGCTCCCAACCCTTTCCTATATTCTTGCAATCCACTTTTGGGCCACCACCCACAACACTGGACCCCAGATGACCTCCAGCCCCACTTCTGGATAGAGATTTTAAAGACCTGGAAACACTCCCCCCTGGTACTTAGAAAGAGATGCAGCAGAGCGGGCTTGGGGCCGCTTTTGTTTTCTGTAACATGCCCAAATAATTTCCCTCCCGTTGGGTTAGCAGGTGCCCGACCCCACGCTGATGTGGCAATCACAGTAAGGCGGGTGCGACTTAGGGGGGGGGGCGGGCAGAGCCCCCCCCAAAAAGACACGAGAGCCCCCCTGCAAGATTTGAAAATCATAACCTGCGAGGAGGGGTGTCTCCCATCGGGTTGCTTCTTCCAATGAACCGGTTTTAATTATTTTTTGCCGAGTCAAAGTGTCATCTGAACCAACAAGATCTGGATCTGATCTCCCGAGCCCGCACCCTCCTCCCTCTGCCCTTGGCTCGGGCCCGGCCGAGAGGCTGGGGAACAGCAGAGCCCGCGCCGCCCCCTCCTCAGGGCGGGGCCAGGCCGGGCCGGGCCGGGCCGAGGGGCGCGGCCCCCCGCCCGC